CTGGATGAGATCTTAGAACAGAAAGGCAAATAAATGGAAAACGTGGTGAGATTCAAATAACGTCTGGACCTCAGTTGATAGCAATATACTAAGGTCTGTTTCTTACAAATGTACTATCATAGCGTACGTGTGTAACAGTAAGAGAAACTAAAACTGGGTGAAGGGTCTAAGGGTACTCTCTGGAGTATCTTACAACTTTTCTGGAACTCTAAAATCATCCCAAAGTAAACAGTTTATTTAAAAAAAAAAAAAAACTCATAACAACCAAAACTGTAATTACTCATTTAATCAATATACTACCTCTAAGCCAAAAAGTGGCAAACACTGGAAAACACTGAAATATTTGACAAATAGAATAAGATATAGAAGAGAATGCTGTTCAAGAAAAGTCAGCTTTGGAAGCCAAAATTAAAGCACTGCACTCAGACTTTGTTCCCTCCCTCTTACTCTCATGCAAAGGGAGAGAAATGACTCCTAGCATTCAATACTCTATATGGTCAGAGTTATTCTCTAGCAGTACACTATATAGAAATAATCTCCAAAAGTATAGCCATGATCTTAACCCTATAGCCTTTGCTGGGTCCTCAGAAAAAAATTTTAACCAGTGGCAAATTTTTTTCAGGTCATTAGCTCTTTCAAATAAAATCTATGAAATATAGATTGTATTGTTCTTTCAAATACAAATATTCCAAACATCATTTTCACTTATAACATTTCCAGAAATTCTCCAAATGGTAATGGTCCTAATTATCACATGATTTTTCTTCTGACCCAATTACATGCTGTACTTGCTGGTCTGTGACTAGGGCAGAGAGAGAAACTCATCCCAGTTGCACCAGGCAGGATTGTGTAGGAGATTCAGTTTGCAGCTACAATCTGCTAAGGAAAAGTAGGTGGGGCCACTAGTCAGAGCTGTCTGGAGACCAGGTTTCTTATGAATTGTGCATTCTGCAATTAAAACCAACAGAGTCTGGGCATAGTGGCTCATACCTGTGATGCCAGCGCTTTGGGAGATGGAGGTGAGGGGGATCCCTTGAGCCCAGGAGTTCAAGACCAGCCTGGACAACATAGGGAGATGCCATCTCTATTAAAAAACAACAACTATATATGTGTATGTATATATGTGTATATATATATATATATATATAATCATTGTATATTTATATACAAAAACAACAACAGAGAAAGAGGGAGGAAGGGAAGAAAGAGAGAAAAGCAATATTCAATCTTAATACCATATAATCATAATTACAAACACCATTGTTTATTGAATGTATCTTTAATGTAGTGCTAGATGTTGTATATCAACTGAATGAGAAGGATATAATTATTTTCCCCACCTTATAGATGCTGGATATGGTGTCTGAAAGAGATGGCATAACTTGTCCACAGTTACATAGTCTGCACGTGGTAGAACCACAGCTGAAACTGTGGCACTAAATCAAATCATCTTTCTAATAAGGAAACGTGGTCTTTCTCAGAAGTCTACTCTCCAGTTAAACCCATTTTTCTAATAACACACTAAACTTGTCATCATCAAAAACAAAAAAAGTCAAAAGATTTGGACACTTGATCAAAGAGTATATGCAGATGCCAAAGAAGATATATATGAATGGATGCATAATATTAGTCATCAAGGAACTGCAGATTAAAACCACATGAGATACCATCACACATTCACTAGAATTGCTAACATAGAAAGGCTACCATTGGCAAGAATTGATGAGGCTGTGGAGCAACTGAAACTCTGGTTCATTGCTGGCAGGAATGCAAAATGACACAACCAACTGTGAAAAATATTTTGGCAGCTCCTTAAAAGGTTAAAAACACACCTGTCATACAACCTAGCTGCTTTACTTTAAAAAATATGAAGTCTGTACCAGGATTTACCCATAAATATTCATAGTAGCTTTGTTAGTAGTAGCCAAAAACTGAAAACAATCTAAGCATCTATCAGCAAATGAGTGTATGAAAGAATTGTTCTAAGTTAGTACACCAGAATACTACTCTAATAAAAAAGAAATGAATTACTGATACATGCCAAAACATAGATAAATCTCAAAAGCATATGCTAAGTAAAAAAGTAGACCCGAGTCTATATATTATATTCTTCTATTTATATAAAATTATAGAAAAGACAAAACTAGAGTTATAGAAAGCACTAGTTCCAATCAGTAATTTCCAAGGGCTGGGTAATGGGAGAGGAGACTGACTGTACAAGGGTACAAGAGAAATTTAGGTGGGGAATGGAAATGTTCTATGCCTTGATTGTAATATTGGTTAAACAGGTGTATGCATATGTCAACATTCATGGACTTATCCACTTAAAATGGACAATTTTAACTGTACATAAAGTATTTCTTAAAAAAGTAAGTTACATGGTTGAAAAGACTCGATAAGTAATTAAAAAGTGGCAGTCAAAATTAGTTGCTAATTAGGCAATTGTAAAAGATTAGTAAATACAAAAATCTGGGAGAAATTTACACTCATTTTATTTGGCATGAATCTTTAAATTTCTAACATAATTTAGAGAAATCAGAACTGGAAGTCAGAGATGTATTATGGGTGGAAGATGAAAGAAAATTACAATTATTCTGAACTCTATTTAATGTACTAAGAAAAAAAGGTTTTGGCCCTATATTACAAAATTTGTTGGGAGAATATTCGCTTAAGTGTTTTAAATCTATAAAATACTTAACATAGATCCTAGTTTTTATGATTCCCTACCTCATTCCCTATTTCAATCAGCTATTAATCCATATCATAACAGCTAAGGGCCTTCTATTGAACCATTTTTCTCTCAGACTCTATAGCCTTCTTCTCCCCTCTACCTGGGCCACCTGACTGTCACCTCTGTTGCCAGCCTTGGTTTCTACCACCAGCGGACAGGCAAAGGAGATTAAGAAATTGCAACCCAAACCTTTAGGATGCCACAATGTTGGCTTATTACGTCTTCCTGGCTTTTTCAGGGATTTTTAGGTTGAAAGAAAAAAGTAAAAGCAAAAACAGCAAAACCCCCACCATAACCACTACTCCAGTGAGATCACATTATGAGTAGGATTGCTAAAAGTTCAGCTGGGCCTCAAGAGAACAGGAAAGTGGTCTACACAATTGGACCTCCCAAGAAGTTATCAAACAGCTTCTCTCTCTGCCTCTCACTCTTCTGTGGTCATGTGGCGTCTTGATTATCTCTCCTAAAGCTGCTACATTCTCCAACTTTCCTTATGACTGGCTTTTTCTGCTTATGAAGCTGTGTGTATATGGTTGAAAAAGGCCACCGGCCCTAAGGCCACATTGGCTTAGAGATCGGTGCCCATACCTATCTAATTAAGTTTCTCTGTTTCTTAGATCCAGTTCTTCAGAGAGAATCGAATTGACCTTGCTTGGGTTAGCTGGGTCTGGGGATCAGGGATTACTTATGTAAACAGGGCTGCTGGCCCACTTCATGGGCATGTGACCTGTGCAGTTGCCCAGGGTCCTGGACTCAGAAGAGATCTGCACACTCAGTTTAATGTTTGGCCGTCACTATAATGCAATTCTTAATTTTTGAACAAGAGGTGCTGTATTTTCACTTTACAAAGTAGGCCTTATTCTGCTGCTGGGCCTAGATATGGGGCAAGACTCAGTGGTGTAGGCAGATTCTCTTATAAGGAGATGTTGGCAGATAAGGAATATTTGGTGTATTTATGGTCTTGGTTTTCATAACCAGGCTTCTCTCTTCTTTGTACTCATATCCTTGCTTACTGCTTCATTTATCCAATAGGAAAATTAGGAACAAATTGGCTCCTAATAGGTGCTAACAACTGTTCTAGGCATTGGAAATATTTGGTGTACAAGACAGATATAGTTTCTTCTGTCATAAACTTAGTGACAAGCCAAGTTTCTCAGTCCTAGAGTTACAACTTTGCTCAGTTCCTTCTCAAAAAACTGACATTCTGCCCATAACTGTTCTTGAAGCTTCCTGTCTGCTGTAGTTATTAATCAGGCAGTGTAATTGAAAAGCATGCTGAGACCTTAGTGGCAGAGCCTGGTAGGGAAAAGAAGCTGGTAATAGGATTAGTGGATTTGCCAGACTGAAGTCTACTTTTTTTTTTTTTTTGCCTTACTTTAACCATACTGAGTCTCTATTCACTAGCCAGTAGTCTAATATGGTAAATCCAAAAGGTATAGTAAGCTTACTTCCAGCTGTTATTAATACTCAAGTTAGTTTTATCTGATAGGAAGTGGGAGTGTAAGACCAGGGAGTAGTAAAACTCAAGTGAGCAGCAACATTGTGGTTGTAGGTACTGGATTTATTTTGTAGCAAGAACTCAAGTCAGGAGCTGGGAATATAAGAAAACGAGGCCCAGTTTTCTGTCTTTCTTTTAAAATAACTCTTCTTTCATGTTCAGGGGTACATATGCAGGTTTGTTATATAGGTAAATTGCACGTTTCAGGGGTTTGGTGTACCGTTTATTTTATCATCCAGGTAATCAGCATAGTACCTGATGTCAGTTTTTCAATCCTCACTCTCCTCCCACCCTCCTCCCAGTTCAATGTCTATTGTTTCCTTCTTCGTGTCCATATGTACTCAATGTTTTGCTCCCACTTATAAGTGAGAACATGCACTATTTCGTTTTCTTTCTTTTTTTTGAGACAGAGTTTCACTCTATTGCCCAGGCTAGAATACAATGGTGCAATCTCGGCTCACTGCAACCTCCACCTCCTGCATTTAAGTGATTCTCATGCCTCTCAGCCTCCTGAGTAGCTGGGATTACAGGCGCCTGCCACCATGCCCTGCTAATTTTTATATTTTTAGTAGAGATGGGGTTTCACCATGCTGCCAAGACTGGTCTTGAACTCCTGACTTCAAGTGATCCCACCTGCCTTAGCCTCCCAAAATGATGGGATTACATGCATGAGCCACCACACCCGGCCAACATTTGGGTTTCTGTTCCTGTGTTAGTTTGCTTAGGAGAGTGGCTTCCAGCTCCATCCATGTTGCTGCAAATGTCTCATTGTTTTATGGCTGCCTAATATTCCATGGTATATATGTATCACATTTGCTTTATCTGTTACACTGTTGATAAGCATATATGTTGATTCCATGTCTCTGCTATTGTGAATAGTGCTGCAATGAACATACGCATACATGTGTCTTTATGGTAGAATGTGTATATACCCAATAATGAAATTGCTGGGTCAAATGGTAATTCTAAGTTCTTTGAGAAATCATCAAACTGCTTTTCACAATGGCTAAACTCATTTACATTCCCACTAGCCGTATGTAAGTGTTCCCATTTCTCTACAACCTCACCAACATCTGTTATTTTCTGACTTTTTTGGTAATAGTCATTTTTACTGGTATGAGATGGTGTCTCATTGTGGCTTTGATTTGCATTTCTCTAATGATTAAGTGATGTTGAGGAATTTTTTCATATTCTTGTTGGCCACATGCATGTCTTCCTTTGAAAATGATCTATTTATGTCCTTTGCCCACTTTTTAATGGGATTGTCTTTGTGGTTTTTTTTTTTTTTTTGTTATTGATTTGTTGAATTTCCTTATAAATTCGATATTAGATCTTTGTAGGATGCATAGTTGGCAAATATTTTCTCCCACTCTGTAGGTTGCCTGTATACTATGCTGATAGTTTCTTTTGCTGTGCAGAAGCTCTTTAGTTTAATTAGGTCCCATTTGTCAATTTTTCTCTTTGTTGCAATTGTTTTTGGAGTCTTCATCATGAAATCTTTACTAGGTCCTATGTTGAGAATAGTATTTCCTATCTTCCATGGCGTTTGTAGCTTTAGTTTTTACATTTAAGTCTTTAATACGTCTTGAAGTGATTTTTGTATATGGTATAAATATGGAGTCCAGTTTCAACCTTCTGCATATAACTGTTCAGTTGTCCCAGCATCATTTACTGAGTAGGGAGTTCTTTCCCCATTGCTTGTTATTGTCAGCCTTATTGAAGATCAGATAGTTGCAGGTGTGCAGCTTTATTTCTGGGTTCTCTATTCTGTTCCGTCAGCCTAAGTGTCTGGTTTTGTACCAGTATCATGCTGTTTTGGCTACTGTAGCCTTGTAGTATAGTTTGAAGTTGGGTAATATGAGGCCTCCAGTCTTATTCTTTTTGCTTAGGATTACCTTGGCTATTCAGTCTCTTTTTTTGGTTCCATATGAATTTTTAAATAGTTTTTTTTTCTAATTCTATGAAGAATGTTATTGGTTGTTTGATGGGAATAGCATTGAATGTGTAAATTCCTTTGGGGAGTATGACCATTTTAACAATATTGATTCTTTCTATCCATGTGCATGGAATGCTTTTCTGTTTGTGTCATCTCTAATTTCGAGACTGAACCAGGAAGAAATTGAATCCCTGGACAGATCAACAGTGAGTTCCAAAATTGAGTCAGTAATAAAAAGCCTACAAATCAGAAAAAGCCCAGGATCAGAAGGATTCATAGCCAAATTCTACCAGATGTATAAAGAAAATCTGATACCATTCCCAGTGAAACTATTCCAAAAATGGGAGGAGGAGGTACTCCTCAGTAACTCACTCTATGAGGCCGGCATCATTCTAATACCAAAACCTGGCAAAAACACAACAAAAAAGAAAGCTTCAGGCTAATATCTTTGATGAACATTGATGCAAAAATCCTCAACAAAATACTAGCAAACCAAATCCAGCAACATATCAAAAAGCTAAGCCACCACCATCAAGTAGGCTTTATTGTTAGGATGCAAGCGTGGTTCAACAAAAGCAAATCAATAAATGCGATTTACCACATAAACAGAACTACAAAAAGAAAAAAACACAAGGCATCTCAATAGATGCAGAAAAGCCTTTTGATAAAATTCAATATCCCTTCATGTTAAAAACCCTCAACAAACTAGACATTGAAGGAACATACCTTAAAATAATAAAAGCTGTCTATGAAAAACCCATAGCCAACTGAATGTTGAAAAGCTGGAAGCATATGAGTACAGGTGTCTTTGTGGTAGAACGATTTATTTTCCTTCGGGTATATATTCAATAAAGAGGTTTCTGGGTCTAATGGTAATTTTCAGTTCTTTGAGGAGTCTCTAAACTACTTTAAGCAGCTGAATAAGTTTACATTCCCACCAACAGCATATAGGGATTCCCCTTTCTCCACAACTTTGCCAACATTCATTATTTTTTAACTATTCTTTTGGTGACAGGGTCTCACTCTGTCACCCAGGCTGGAGTGGAGTGGCATGATCTCACCTTATTGTAGCCTCAACATCTGGGCTCAAGTGATCCTCCCACCTCAGCTTCCCGAGTAGCTGGGATTACAGGCACACGCCACTGTGCCACGCTAATTTTTTTTTTTTTTATTTCTTGTAGAGATGGGGTCTCCCTATTTTGCCCAGGCTGGTCTCAAACTCCAAGGCCCAAGCAATTCATCCACCTTGGCCTCCCAAAATGCTGGGATTACAGGTGCAAGCTGCCACACCTATCTTTTTTGACTTTTTAAATAATAACCATTCTGACTGGTGTGAGATGGTATTTCATTGTGGTATAAGATAACAATGACTGAGATGTCCTGGGTAGTACTAATTATTGCAGTTGCTAAATATGTATGTCCAATGGTATTTTGGGACAGGGTATTAGTGGAGAAAGAAAGATTTGTTTGGGATCTTAAAAGGTAGTTGGGGATTACAAAGCATGTGGGAAAGTGGCGAACTTCTATTGTTTTTATCTCTTCAGCATTTGCTTGTTCTTTTGGTAGCAGCATTTTCCTTTTCCTTTGGGGAACCACCTTCCTCTTATCCTCAAACTATGTGGTTAGTGTAGAGGTGACCCACCCTCAGATCCAAAGAATGGCAAATAACTAGATTTAGCCACTCATTGTTACCCCACTTGGTACATTCTTGGTCACCATGCTAATTCCACGATGGTATAGTGCTTAATCTTTAGTTACATGTTGGTTTAATGAGACCCAATCCTGGAGTTTTTATAGGGACAATAGAAAAATAAAACTGCTTTTTCTTCTAGGGTTGTCATGCTGGCAGAGATGTGAGTTTGGAGGGGCTGGAGAGCCGTCTGGGTGTCATAAGGGGAAAGTCTGCCTAAAAGCACAATCAACAAAGAAAAAGATAGAACCATGAGTTGGAAAGATGGAGAAATTAAGTCCCAATGACAGTTTTTAAGTTCCATGATCTAGTTATGGCTAAACCCAACTTTGCTTTTCAGTTACATGAGACAACAACAAAATTTTTTTAAGCTGGTTGGTCTTAGTTTTCTTCACAAGCTAAAAATTTTTGGTAAGGTAAGGACTTCATGAGCACAGAAATATGGGTCAATACTTGTCCTCTTTAAAAAAATTTCCAGAGATAACTTGAAGCTCACATCTAAATCTCTTATATTTGTAGTTGTGGGGGAGGAAAGACTTCTACTCTATTGTCTTAGGTTCTGCTGCTGTGGCCTATGAATTGGACTGACAAAGGACAGGTTAATAGGAGAAAAAGCATACAGATTTGATTTGATGTTAGTATTTTTAAGTGGTTGCAGGGGGTTTCATAGAATGAAGGGAAACTTCTAAGGAAGCAGTTAGTACCAGGGTCTTATATATCATTCTAACAAAGAGCAATAAATAATGGAGACATGACAAAGCAAAGGAAAAAGAGGTTTGGGTTACGGGTGGGGAAGTGTGGGAAAGTAACTAGAAAATATATGGGGAAACTACTGTATGATAAGAGATATTTTATTAATAGTAAGGCTTGCCTTTAGTGATAAGAATGTTCTCCTCCTCCTGGTATAGGGAGGTCACCTTTCTCATGGGATATGTATGCTCTTCCTTAAGGTAGAAAAGAGAAAGACAGTCCTTCCTACTGCTGTTTCTCAGTGGCTTTCAGTTCAAAATAATAAACATGCCAAAGTGTTATATTTTGGGGTGACATGTTCTGATCCTCTTCACAGTTTATTTCCTCTTTTCTCAGAAGGAGCTGTAGAAGACATTGCTCCCTAATGGCAGTTTATTTTCAATATTTATTTACTCACATCACAGAATGAAAGGTTGCAGTATAAATTAGGTGTGGCTTTCTAACAGAGGAAACTAAAGTCATTTAGATTTTTTAAAATTCCTATTCACTTTATAGTTTGTTTTCATTAAACACACACACACACACACACGCACACCCCAGAAGGAAACTAAAATATTTCAGATTTATTTATTTATTTATTGAGATGTAGTCTCCCTCTGTCACCCAGGCTGAAATGCAGTGGTGTGATCCTGGCTTACTGCAACCTCTGCCTCTGGGTTCAAGTGATCCTCCTGCCTTAGTCACCCTAGTAGCTGGGACTACAGGTGTGTATAACCACACCCAACTAATTTTTGTATTTTTGGTAGAGTTGGGATTAGCCAGGCTGGTCTTGAACTCCCAACCTCAGGTGATGCGCCTGCCTCGGCCTCCCAAAGTGCTGGAATTACAGGCGTGAGCCACTGTGCCTGACCCTGGATAGTTTTAGTAGTAGAATCAATCTGTGTCCATTTACTAGTCAGTCCTCTTTCATGTACATAATTATTTCTAAGGACAAAAAAAACCCCACCTTCATTCCAAATATCTGTATATTTACCATATAATCCTCCTTCTGGATTTGCTCTGGATTTAATTCTCGAAGGCTCTAAAGTCTTTAACTGAAGCTTAAAAAACAAATAGACTTTAGGTATCTAGGCTTTATTCTGAATTCTAGGGAGATGGTGCCTAAGTTTTTAAGACTTAAAAAGAACCATTTCATTTTCCAATATCCACTTTAAAACCTTTTTTTTCCCCATACTCTTTCTGACTGCTATCTGCTTGCAAGATATCAGAGTGGTTTGTCTAATGTTATTTGCAAAGGAGTGACTTCCTGGAACTGTCATTAACTATACTATGTCACCCTCCTCTAAATCCCAGGATTATCCCCTCTGAAGGCTTGGTAGACTTTACAGAATTATTATGACATCCAGAGTGCTCTTCAGGCTTTGAGTCACAGAAATTATTTTTCCAGTATTATAATTTATCTGTGACTGTTTTATTGCCATGTCCTCTGAAATACTCGAGAAGACA